CAAATCCTCAGACTGTCATCGAACGGCCAGAGTGAGCTCGAGTCGGGGGAGGAAAAAATAAAAAATAGTTAAAGTTTTTTTTTTCGAAATCAATGGGGTTTAGTCGGTGAAAACTTTGTCCTTACTGTCCATATCCCTATGTCTCCGTACCGGGAGATCCTACCCACTAGACGAAACCATAAAACTCGTTTTGTGAAGTATCCTGTACAAAAAATATATATCAAAAAATGATATAGACTCTGGAATACGTGACGAGATTTGTTATCGTACCTATCCCACTGGAAATTTCTTTATCTAAAATCGTGCCGCATCCACACTTAGGAAAAGTCGTGATTTACAAAGGCGGAACTTTCCAACCCTCTTTATGTCACTTGATGTTTACAGTCTTCGATAACTTTATAATAAAAAATTTACTTTCAGGTTGGTTTTCCTCTCTTTCGATTTTACCCAGCAGTCCAAGTGCCGGCTTTTAGACTCCTTTAGTCAGAATACAGAGACGAAATATATTCAGACCAATTATTGTTCACCAAATTGAGTCATGAGATGAACTGATTCGTAACCTATTTAGAAGACGATGCAAACACACAAGAAAATTAATTAGTAACAGGGTAAAGAAGAAGATGTTTTCTCCTGAAGGTGAATGTCTTCGACAAGGTTTTCAGCTCCTACAAAACCCCCATCCTTCGTTTACCTGCGAACCTTTTACAAGTCGTTCCAGGTCAAAGGACAAAAATTATAGCATGACAGAACCTATAAGGCTTTTGTTTACTCTGAAAAATAATATAGAATCTTAATGATGGTGCCCAGGTTTACTTCTTACTCTCTGGTATATGTGTAAGGCTAGGCATGCATACTTTGTCGGGTTTTGTCCTTTAGCGTGTCACCTGCCCATAACTCTCCAACGTTTTTATATTTTACAGGAAGAGGCAAGGAGAACGGTCGGTGCTTCTAAACTCGGCTTTGAACAACAATTGCCTCTTCCTTGTTGTACACGTCCTAGCGTCTGAAGCCGTATCCGGCAGAGAACGTCCGCCCCTGTTCAGACGACCCTGGTCGACGTCTCCAGTCACCTTTGAGTCTATCTGGACGGTACAAAAGTGATTGTTTCACACATAATTAACTCACACACTTTTCCCACACTTTCGAAATGTTACATCTTTCCTTACTTTCACATACAACCGAACCACACACATCCACGAATGAACTTACCTCTAAAGACGACTCTCGTACTCCCTCCTTTAGATTAAACTCCTTTTTGTATAACTAATTTTTCACCCATTATTAAAGTTATTTTACAAACTAGTAAATCCTGGTATTTTATTAAGTTTTTACAGTTGTTTCTTTCGGCTATTAGAATATTTATCTTCACAATTCATACCACTGATTATCCAACTTTTTCTGTACAGTTTATGGTTCTTACCGGTGATGAAACGCCATATCATGGATTATCAAGGATTATCTCTGAAACAGTATGGAGCTCAAAGGCTTTCTCTCTTGCCGGTTATACCACAAGGTGAGTTCCTTTTTATTTCCTGCTTCTTCACACACATGCTCTCCAGTACAGGTTAGCTCTGAGT